TGAATGTTCACAGTCTTTGGTGGTAAGATTGTTGCTACGAGAAAAGGGAAAGAAACAAGTTTGAAATCTCTGTTTAGAGTTGTTAATTCATCCAAGGAACGGAATACAAACGGATTGTACTAGAATGGAAAACAACGTTAAAATGAAAATATCACGCCATTAAATACAACTTGCTACATTTCTTAATTTTCTTTTTGTCGTGGTATTGTCTTTTTTTCGATTTTCTATTACCCCCTGAAATTTTCTGTCTTGTTTGCTGTATTCCATTGAGACCACATATACATCCATGCTGATATAATCTGACTAATAAACGATTTAAAGCGAGTTTTCTTTACATACATAAGGCTTTGCTGCTTTAAATAAACTCATAAATATCCGGACAATTTTTCTGATCACGGTATGTTGAATTTGTACAGCAATATTAAAATAAAACAGGATATTACAGATTGCAATGTGCTGTCAGTTTCATGCTTCGGTAAATCATTCCCGTGTACTTTAACACATTTGATTAACAGACAACAATAGATTTAATGTTGTTTGATGATTATTGATCAGGAAATGTCTGCCACTAAGTTGCAAAACGACAGTACCTTAACATTGGTCATGATAATCGCATTGCGTGTATTTACTTATTCCATCAGTTGTCAAATGAGAAAGTAATTATTTGCTGAACATTTGTCGCTGTGTCCGATTAAATTAATTATATAGACAAATGCAGGTTGAAAGAGAAATTACAAAAAAGAGAAAAAGAGTATTTGAACATGTCAGCTACAATATGCACATCTTACAAATATAGTTTCTGTAACGATTTGTTTGAATGGTAGAATGACCGTTGTAATGTCAGATCGACAAAATCCCTATAGTATCGTCTACATAAGTTGCTGGACCTATGTTTTCTTCTTCAATGCCTCACAAGGCTGAACAATTGGAATCAGCTGTTTGAAGTGTTCTCATAAAGACATAGAGAAGATGTTGCCTTATATTTACTATAGTCCCTTGTTGTCTGCCGTATTGTTATGCCAATAAATCCCAAACTGGACAAAACTCATCAAATACTTCATACGGAACATGCATGATGTATTTTGCTTTAATTGGTTGAAAATCTCTCAATAATTACATTTAAAGTTATTTACCTATTGTTATGTCTAATTTGATACAAATGGATGAACAGCTTCGTCCAAATAAATACCTTAAAGGAAAATTCAGTTTCTTTTTACATGAATGATCTCAAAAACATTTTTCTTCAAACTTAACATTATGTTATAATTTTAAAAGATAACTGCCTCCCCATATCTCACAAAAGATAGGATATATTCTTCAGTTCGTCCCATACAGAAACGAAAAACAAATTTGATAGACATGAACCAACAACAACAACTGCACTACAGGCTCCCAACCCTCCCCATAATCTGGGACAGTGGTGTTACAGAACAACATAAGAACAAACTATAAAAATCAGTTTAAAAGGGCTTAACTCATCAGATCGATACATAAACACAGACTGGACGTGGCAGGATATTTATATATCCCTAACTACAAAAAAGACACAAAGTACAGATCTGAGAGTACTCGTAGTTACTGACAGCTATTTCAAAGCCAATTACAACTAATGAAAAAAATCTTGTATCTAAGACTAAAATATCAATCAGTACACATCCAACATACAATGGATTTAGTGTAAAGACGTCATTAACAGTAAGAGAAAACATGACCTTGTGCAATGCCAAACTATAGGTATCGACAGATTGTAGTACCGTGAACGTACATATATGTATAACTATAATATTTAGTATGGTCTGTATCCCGGGTGAATATTTATATCAGTGGCAGTCGTGCCACATTTCCTTATTTTTATATAGCACGATCAATTATAACTTATATCTAAAAGTCTGCGACCCCATCTTAATTGACTAGGAGTGTCAGTTTTCCTATCGCAGGTCGGCGGTTCTCTCCGAGCACTCATACTTCCACCAACAATAAAAATTGACCGACACGAAATAGCTAACAGTGCAGGAAGTGGCGTTAAACACCAATTAATCAATCAATCAATTTTAAAGGCTGCGTATCTACATCTTCATACATCATGCATAATTTCAAAACTGTTACATCTATGCTAATTTTTCATAAACCCATATTATATTTTTGTTTTCAACATTTATTATTAAACTGTTTTTTTTTAATTGCTCATTTAAGAACAAATATAGTTGTCTTCTGTTCACAAAAAACTAATACTGTTTGGAACAGCAATAAAAAGTAATTGTGACCGCCTCATTGAAAGTGTGCTCAGAGCCTGTTCGGTAATCTGTTCTGGTATGGTGATCTGTTTCTCAGCTCGCTGTTACCTAGTAAGGTAGCCAGTTAAAAATCCAACTAATCATGTCGGTCTTGTACAAAGCAGAGTATATATGTATTGAATTAATGTTTTCTTTACATTTGAACGAAACAATGGGCAGATACCATAGAGTGGTTATGCAGTTATTGATGTGCAAAGTCAACGTCACTGCTAAGTTTGCGCGTAGGAGCTGTAATCTTATCAAGGCTACTTTGGAAAATATCACAGACTTTACTAACTCGAACTATTAATTATTGGAACACTGGGATTGGTCTATGATAACTGAGTTCCTAATTAACCTTGCATTCCAGAAACAGGCGGATAATACAGCATGATGTAGTATATTGTTTTTGGCTATTGGCGCAAGAGTTATTGATTCAAGACTTTTTCAGCCACCTGTATCAGTGAAACCGTCTTTTATTAGTGTTTACAGGCTAAAAACACGTGTGTTGCTAAGTTATTTCTATGGTCATATTCATAATTAATTGGTTTTCTTACAAGATATCAGTTAGTAATAATTGTTTGATACACTGGAATCAATCGAAACTCAATTACGTTTGCTAGAAGTATTCCATTACTAATGGTATTCAATAAACTTAAGATTTCTTTCCTGAATTATGTAACAATGCAGTTTGCCTTTTGTTCTTGATTTGATTATAGATTTTTCAACTGTCGAAATTGATATTGCGATATCACATGAATTAAGGAATAGGAAACATTCAATTTAATAGTATTGCAATAACATATCTGGTTAACATTACTGTTGGTCGTTATCAGGGGACATAACCTTATCCAAACATATAACATGGTTTCCGCAATTCTTTTATATTCCATTATTATATAATGTATATAAAATGTATATCAAAGTGTTTTCCCCAGTAGCAACACTCTTAATTCAGACATGGAACGACCAGAGACATTCGATTGGGACTGAAAAACATTGGCATTTGGGAAAGATAAATGTTAGTATTTACCCATCTGATTAAAAAACAGATCTTGTGTGAAGGATCTGACAACGCTCCATTCTACTTTCTGTTTTAGAGATCTTTCGGAATTCTCTGGTTTTGTCGTAATGACACACAACTTCAAACATTTGATGGCTATAATTTCATTGGCATATGTAATGATTACCAGAACAGAAAGGAGAACTGCGTTTCGTCAGATCCTAGTAAGCGAGGCATGGACACAGGAGCTGTATTTTAATAATATTGAGTATTTACATCTATACAAACCACCCACTGACACTCAAGGATACTTGTTGCAAATATCAGGATGGCAAACTGTTATATTATTTTAGTTTTTCTTTGATTATTTGATTCATTTGTGTGTACGATATTTTGTATCTTATCTCAACACACTATACACAATTGAAGCTGTCATTGTTATGTAAATATTAAAGCGTCTAGTTTTGATGAAAACTTCGCACGTTTTAGACAACTTTTGATATAATCTCGGTCAAATTAATTCAAAATTCGATGTTTCCGTTATTAATCTAACTTAGAAAACGGGAAAACAAATGGAAAATACAAATCACTCACTATAACAATATTCACAGTCTCAGATTCATGAATAGTTATCTATTTACAGTGTTATTTTCATTTTTCATCCAGGTCTTCAAGCAAAGATTAACGTAGAACAAATTTTTAAAAGCTGTCTTTGTATACTGTGTGTGAATGGATTTAGGCATATTGGATCTTGACTTAACTAGGATTTTCGCCCCTACCATTTTGCCTCTTTGTATTCTTTTTTAGGTAACCATGTTGGTTAATGAAATAAAATATAATTTTAAAATTAAAGTCGAGATACACTAAGGATCATTCATGTCAATGTGGTGATCATTCCATTTAAGGAGTCGCCTTATAATTTTGAATTTCGGGGCATTTAAACCATTTCAGATTTTTTTCTATAATCAATTTCAGATAATTAATTACATTTGATTTTTTCCATTAAAGCCTATTTTTGAGCAGATGCGGACAAATTAAATTGTAGCGGGGACAAAAAGCAAAAAAACCCAGACTATACTAAATGTCCTATGTTTGTTGAAATTTGCCAAGTGGTTTCAGAGAAGAAGATATTTGAAAAAGTTGATGACAATAGCTGACATGGTCCAAATAAACCATGAAAGCTAAACCCCACCTAATGTTCATGTGCTTGTCCCAAGTCATGATGACCTCTGCAGTGCTTGTCCCAAGTCATGATGACCTCTACAGTGGTTGACTAAAATTCTTATTTTCTATGCTTTGTCCTTTGTAGAATTTATGTTTGTGCAAGATATTTGATAATCTGTTAAATTTAGTCATAACTTTTTTAGACTCTGACACAGTGTATAGACATCTATCTATTGTTAAAGACGGGATGCTGTCCTCTAGATATCTTTGGTTTAGTGTCGTTAGCTTGCTGTCTAAAAGATTTGTTCCCAATATCTCCTGTTATTCTTATTAACAGGTGGATTTTTAGTTGTTCCACGACCAGCTACTAGTATTAGTCATCGCCATGCTTTCAAACATTTATCACTTTTCTGTTTAGGAAGGCGAATTATCCTGTTGCATCGACTGGAAATATTGACTATTGAAGGAAAACAAATTTAAGAACAGTTGACTACCTCGAAACTGTTCAGAAATAAACACCAACATCAGATGTTCATTTGGAAAATGCATCGAAACTGGTGCAAAAATATATTTCATTTTATTTAACTTGAAATAAACATAAGCAACATATATTTTTGATTCACCATATTTGGTAATTTGCATGTGAAAGCTATTTGTAGTTTTCATAGTTATTAAGTACTCTTTCTTCTTGTGAATCCACCGTCCATGTATTGCCTTAAGAAATTTACAGCAATCAACATACAATGAAATGGTTTACTAAATGCGAAAGTAACGTATATGAGAAGTTTAAAACTCACAGCTCTGGATTTTGTATTAGTATTGTGACTCTTATGAAGACTAAATTAAATGCGTAATTAAATAATGAATGTACTATTAAGTTGAACACATAACCTCTTTGTAGACGGAGCGAAGCCAGACATTATCTCCCATTCGTTTATGGCACGACACTTCCATCGATTCACGCTTCACCATCCAGGACCATCACGCGCATATTCCCTTTTAAACCAGATAACGCAAGTGAAATTGGAAGCTAATGTAAATCCGCATCACGAAATGATTCCATGATAATGCTACATAACACTACAACATTTTTTTTGTTTCTTTTTATCTTTCACCGACCTGTCCAGTGTTCCATCTTTCTGGTTAATGTCCACTGGCTGAGAATCCGTCAATATAGTTTTGCCATTTAGTTTAGTTTCCGGAAGTGCCTGCGAACTGTTTGTACTTTGTTGTAGAATAGTCTCATCTATAATATCCTTATTTAAATTCTCACAAGTATTGTTTACTTCATTTCTAATTTCGGTATTTTCGGGTGCTGGATTTTGTTCTATATCACTATATTTTCTTTGTTCACTTAATATAAATTGATCCCGAATTATCGTAGCCCTCTTCAGGATATCCGAAGCTTCTTGATCAAGACTGCCTCCCGGAACAAATGGGTTATCCCGGCTTTCTAAACTGAAAATATAATAAAAATAATATTTCATCTTTATTCGGATATGAACTACACATTAAATAAATTTTTTTTGTAGAAACTCCTTGAGCAAGTTTTAGTTTATGGAACTTGTGGGATAAGTGATATTATATATAGTACTATTAGTTTAAACATATTTTATTGTTCAAAAATGACAAATGGTACTATTGACTTTAGAATACGTCTACTGCGTTCATGATACAGGTAATTAGAATAGAAATTTATGAAAATATTATTGCTGAAAGTTAACCTAGTGTGTTCCGCAATGAAGCTGTTGCTAGATTTGATGAAGTGATTTTGGAATATTCTGGATGCATTTCTCACTGGGAAAATATGTTCATTTGATGAAAAAATATTCTTGAGACCTTATTTACCATGCCTGTAATTGATGTGGGATAGAGTTACAAAATCTGTCGCCTACGGACAATAATCCTGATTGTTGTGTAATCAGGGATCAATACTACATATTTTGGCATCCCCAGCAATCACTTGTGAAGAACAATCGATAGTCTGACGCCTTTGAGTCTCAGTGATCTTGTATATGGACATTAGTCGTTCCAATGTGTTGGTTTAACGACATTAAGTTTTAATAGAGTTCTTCTAAAAAACGATCAACTGATGTATAATATAGTATTAGTAGTACTAGACAAGTATTTGTTACATATTTAAATTATCTGTGTTCTCAAGTAAAACAAGAATAGAAACAAATAGAAAAGGTTGGTATCTCCAGGGGTGAGGAAAGTTTCGATTTGGCCCATCCTTTTGTTCATTAATTAATTAAAAGATCGGCACCACAGATGTCCTTAAACCCTACTTACAGAACATTCCTTTTTTGAAATTCTGATGAAGTACATGTTATCATCATTATTATAATTATTAATAATAATATTTTATTTAAAAGTTCTCTCTGCCATTGTCTGTCTGAATACTGAAAACTAACATGTATGATTTTCCATAAATTTGTTCATTACGGTAAACCCTTCAGTTAAAACATAAGTGGCTGGATTTTGTTGGTCTATTATCTGTTCATGTCAGTCAGAAATTTAATCCCAGCTAATACTGCAAATCAATACACTTCCCAATTCTACATTTATTCTCTATCAATAATAAATAGTAATAGAACATTCCCACAATTCAATACACACAATGTCAAACACAACACACACTAATTAAATGCATGCAGATTAATTACATAGAAAGTCTAACATGCACGTGTTGACGGCATCATTGGGAGGATCAAACCCGGTGAGATCAGTTGTAGCTGTCACGGAGAATGAACCTATCATTAATACTCAGATAAACATATTATTTGTATTGACAGAAAGTCTGTACACAAACAATTCCGTCTAAGTCCTTGAACATTTTTTGAAAAAATGCCATGACTTCTCAACATCAAATGATTGTGTTCACAGTACCTACTCATCATAGTGGTATAAGTGTGTTTGTATTACAGTATTTATCAGTATTTATGTAGAGATACACACGGTTGTGCTAAATCTAATTAAGCCAGCTGGGCTGCAATCTGTTGAGGGATGGGTGTGTCATAATTGGATAAAATACCAACTATCTTTTCAGCATGTTCAGTGCAAATATTTGTTATTTCATATTAACAAAGCGAATGACACATATTTCTGTCTTTATTCCACAATAATTATGCTGGATTGACGCCTCTTCATATGGTGATAATTGAACCATCAATATGTTCTATGTAAATGATATGAAGTATAGATTTATAATTTATGCTATATGTTTTACATCTTTTAAAGTTCAATCGATTAAATCGATCATTACATTCCTGGCAACAGGTGTTAGGAATTTATTTCCGTTTCATTACTTGGCGTTTATCATCGATTCTTAAAGATAGCCCTTTTTGTAATGTCGCGTAAAATATGAACCTAATATATTACTCGAAAATGATGTACTACAAAAACCTTCTATTGATAAATATTTGTCCTCACATTATTGATAATGTCTATCTTTAGATCAATGTGTTCTATGAACCGTTAACTGATAATAAACGTAAATATTTGGTTTACAGAAAAAATGCATAAAACTCAATCTTACCCATCATCATGACCTTCCATTATAAAGCCAGCATTTGTAAGTCCTGTTTCTATAACAACCTTATTGATGATAATTTATGACCGCTACCTGATATTTGTATTTTGCTATAAAGATGGCGAATAGCAGAAAAACGTCTGTCGCATAAGATCTAGCTAGGTATCACTAATTGTTGATGTAATAAAACACACATAGGCCTTCAAATATTCAATGCAACATCCTTTAACTATAGAAGCCTCGTTATCTTCAACTAAACGCGCTTCCGGTCTATTTCAGATAAGAAAACAAAATGTTTTTGAAATAAACAAAATATTTGACCTATGCAATTATCTTTCGTTACGTATTATTACAACATTGTACGGCTACTGAGAATGAATTGTGTTATCGGAATGCCTTAGATAAGATCCTAAAATCGACTGGATTCCGAATGGCTTCTGGTGAGCCAGGTTTCATATTTCTAACCTCTGACACATGCTACAGGTCATAAATCATGCCGTTAAGTCGAATGAAATCGATTCATATGATTACTTTTGTATAAACACAGATATATTGGAGGATATGATATTGTACGATGAAAGTTGACATACTGCAACCAATCAGGTTTGCTTCTATACAGTAGGCTCTTCGGAAAGAGTTGAGTGATGGAATAATGTGGTAAACTCAAAAAGCACAAAAGTAGCAACTACTTTAGAAATATTAAAAAGAAAATATTTTCATCGGTTAGAAAGTAACAACAGGAAAACAATTTGAAATATCCCTCTAGATAGTGTCGTATAAAATAAACAAAAATATATCAGGGCCAAGTAATAAGAGTTTGAAAGGAGTAAGATACCATAGGGACATTCAAGCATATACAGTACATTACATAGAAACTTAAAGACTGAGCAACACGATAAATCGGGAGTGATCTCAAGTGCTCCAGTAGGGTAAGCAGACCCTGCTCCACATGTGACACCCGTCGTGTTACACGTCATCAAAGCGCAACTGACGATTGACTACTGCGACTTTCTGAACTGAAATTAATGCCAAATGTTATTAGTATTATGTTTAAGGTCAATGTACGGTCACATATTTTGGTAAAATTTTTGCAAACACTGTGGCTCGTTGAACTTTAACTGAAAATCGAAAAAATAATGCATTTCTTTCAAAATAGGTGAACATTTGAATAGAAAGCACATAAAATCGGCGATAAACGTTCTTCAATTTGTCTTAAATATATCAAATCTCCAATTTCAATCCGTAGATTTTTCTAAAAAAAATGATATGATGTTGATACATAAAATTCCGTTTGATTGATACGGTCACATCGGACTTCCAAAAGATAGGAATAGTGCAAAGTTCAAGCATTTTGTAGAAATTAGAAATATTGTTTGAAAGGTCATGGTATTGGTTTAAATCTTACAACCATTCTAGAGGTATTTTCATCCGGTTTCGAAATTTGAATAATCAAAATCAAGAATTGCCTCAGCATAAACAAGACAAGATTTTTCTAAAGCCTTAAAATTATTCTATATTATAAATCTATTTGCCTGACACACAAAGATTATGGAAAACTAGATATGGACAATGCCCACCCCTTTTTCTGCTCTGCCATATGCATGAGTATAGTTCCACATATTTTAGATTTGACAAACTGGTGTTGGCATACAACTTGAAATTGTTACGCTGTCTGTAAGACACAAATGATGCCCCCGCCTGACCAAAAAATGACTAAGTCCAACTACCTGTCATTTTCAGAGTATTTGAAAAAATGCGCATACACACCTCCATTATGTGTTTGAACATCCTACAAAATATTAAAGCTGTACCTCCAAAATTGTAGGAGGAGATAGCCGGACAAACCATGATCTCTTTATGCAGCTAGTACCAAAAAAATGACTAAGGCCAACTACCTGTCATTTTCAGAATACTTGAAAAAAATCAAAATCCTGTGGCCATGCACACCTTCATTATGTGTATGAACATCCTACAAAATATTAAAGCTGTACCTCCAAAACTGTAGGAGGAGATAGCCGGACAAACCATTATCTCTTTATGCAGCTGGTACCAAAAAAATGACTAAGGCCAACTACCTGTCATTGAAAAAAATCAAAATCCTGTGGCCATGCACACCTTCATTATGTGTATGAACATCCTACAAAATATTAAAGTTGTACCTCAAAACTGACTGTAGGAGGAGATAGCCGGACAAACAATGTATCCTAATCCGGACGGACGGACGGACGGACGGAAGGCGGGTAAATTAATATGCCCCTCGACATAAAAAAACAACAATGAACAAGAACTATGAGCTAGGGTATTGCATATGCAATATGTACAATGTTCTCCGCCAACTGTAATTGAAAGAAAAGATGTGTTGACACTAATATGGGACCAGCTACTGATGTAGTTTGAAATTTCCTTTTTTAATTGATTGGGTCAGAACATTTATTTAAACGGATGCGGATATTGTCAACAACAACTAGTCGAACCCTAATCCCTGAGACATCAAGGTTGTTATACCAAAAAACTAGACGTTTTAAAGAAATTTTCTAGTCCAAGGGCTTAAATTTCTACAAAAATCGTTAAATTGGAACGAAACCCAAACTTGATTGTAACTTCGAAAGATATAGCTATACACCAACTATATAATCAATTGAATAAGGCATTGCTGAAGTGTGAAAATCTGATATTTTCAAGGAATTTTCCATGTCCTCCATCAAGGGACACACAAACGATTTTATATTTGATGTACATGCATGCATGCCGATATTTTTTGAAAATCAAATGAATATAATTGAAGTTTTTCATCATTCCAGTGAAATACCAATAGTTATTAATCTGATATCGATCAGTATATCTCGGATATCTTTTTTAATTCTAAAATTGGATCCATTCTGTGACAGAAGCGCCGTTTGGCCGTCTGAAAAAAGATATATGCGCA